CCAGGCATGGCCGGGAACACCCACCACTGGCCCGACGCAGCAAACGGTACAATCAGAACTCTCCGCCTGAGGCACCGAGGGAACCACTGCAATTCAGTGGGCAACCTGCAGTGCCCGGAAACCAGGCACGGTTTCTGTCGTCTGGCTTTTGACAGAAGAATGCCACCTTCCTTTTAACGCACGGGGCTACTCCGCGATGCAGACTATGATGGGCTGTGCCCACACCCGACGCACGTGGACTTCCTGGCGTGAACCAGTGTGGCCAGGAGCGGGCGTCCGCACCTGCTCAGGCTGCAGGTCAGGGCCCGGCGAATGGGCTGCCCTGGACCCTGGGCAGGGAGCAGCGTCTGTCCACCCGCTGCGTCCCTACCGAACCGCCCGGCCCGGGCCGACGTGCCTGCGATTTTAGACCCTGAACGCCAAGGGCGCCACGAGGAACGTTCACATTTTGCCTCGGTGCCTCTCAGCTGTGCGGCTGCGCCACTTCGACTGATTCTTGGGTGTTTGTTCATTCATAATTGATTCAACACCGGGCATGTGCCGGCCTGTAACCGACTCCGGAATTAGAAAGTCACAGAGAAAAACGCTACCTGCCCGTGGGGGTGTCATAGGGAAACGAAGGTTCTAAGACCAACACTGATAGTTCATTACGGGATTTGCAGGTAATAGGAGGCGAGAGCGGCCACAGCAGCCCGGGGGGCGTGGGGAGGCCACAGGGGAGGCCGGGAATGCTCAGTGAGAACTCGCGAGTAAATGGAAGAAACAGGAGGAAGGGGGCTGTGGGTGGAGCAGAGCACAGGGAGCGTCTGGGCCAGGGGAGCTGTTGCACATTCACGGTTCAGGCAGAGCGAGAGGAGGTGGGCGAGGCAGGGAGTGGGCGGGGCCAGCTCTGCTAAGGGCTTGGATCTCACCTGAGGCCACGGCAGCCACTGAAGGGTGCTAGTGGGAGAGCTGGTCACGTGGGCAGGTTAGAAGGGTCCCTGCAGCAGCCCAGGGGGATGAGCGGAGGGAGGCAATCTCATCTCGGAGGCAGGACAGAGGACAGTCAGGGCGGTCACAGTGAGGGGAGAGCCACGAAGGTACCGAGGACGTGTGGGCTGGCCGAGCGCATGGCACCGTGGGACCCTGCAGCCAGCAGCGGGGGCACGGGCGGCGCCCACACACTGTCTGGGCAGTGTCTGCACTGGAGACAAGACTGGTTGCTCCCCAGCCACGTGCCAGCGCATCCCGAGCACGCTCCCCAGCCCAGGCACGTGTGTGCACAGGCACATGCGTGCACAGACATGCGTGTGCACAGGCACGTGTGTGCACTTCCACACAGGGCTCGGCAGGTCACTGGCTTTGGGGAGACGTGGTTGATGAGGGCTCCTTTGCCTACTGCCCCCCAGAACCTGGCGTATGAACTGAGCGACGAGCTGAGCCCACCCCACACCTGCACAGCCCCGCGGCTACACGCCATGCGAATGGCACTGGCCGTGTGACACGCCATGGCTCACGCAGGGATTAACCGGCTTGTCGATGGATGACAGAGGGCTGACAAGGCTCTAAGGCACGGGAGGCACGGCAGGACTTGTGGGACTCCCTTCTTTACCAACCAGGGGGGAGGCAAGAAAATACGAGTGCAGATATGAACCAGCTAACTGCCCCGCGTCTGAACGGAAACCATCCCCGTGTCTACAGCCGCTGCGGCACACAAAGGGTTAATGAACTTATTTAAATCGCCACATTCCAGAATAAGACAGACATCTCTGCATCAACCCAGTCTACTGTGTCCACAACCAGTGATGACTGCACACATGGCACTCTCTCCCCGTCAAGGCTGTGCAATGTGTGCAGGTGTGTGCCTGTCTCACACGTGTGTACGCTCCCACTGGAGGCCCACTTGCCTCTCCAACTTGGACCCATGCATCCCTGGATGTTCCGCCCACCCTGCCTGCGTCTCCGGGAAACGCACTTGCTCCCTCCTTTGGGAGAGAGGGGTGTCCCATCCCTCCCTGCCTGCATCTCTGGGAAACGCACTTGCTCCCTCCTTTGGGAGAGAGGGGTGTCCCATCCCTCCCTGCCTGCATCTCTGGGAAACGCACTTGCTCCCTCCTTTGGGAGAGAGGGGTGTCCCATCCCTCCCTGCCTGCATCTCTGGGAAACGCACTTGCTCCCTCCTTTGGGAGAGAGGGGTGTCCCACCCCACGTGCAGCCTCCTCGCTCCAGGGAACGCTCACCCTAGCTGCCAGGATGTGTTGGGTTTGGGGTCAGTCGTGTGTGAAGAGCAGAGTTAGTCCCCTCACTTGTGCAGAACTGCAGCCAAGAACATGACTCCTCTTGAGCTGAGCTCCTTGTGCGCCCTGCATCTCGTGTGAGCATGTTACCGCATCTCGTGTGAGCATGTTACCGCATCTCGTGTGAACATGTTACCACATCTCGTTTACTCGTTGTCCCAAAAGTAGATGAGGAAATGGGATTGAAGACCTTGCGCAGTTCATTCAAGGTCACTGACTACTGAATTGCGAGGCCAGGATCCAATCGGGTCAGCCTGCCTGCAGAACCAAGACCAGGAGCACCACAGCGGGTATTGTAGCTCAAGTCGTGTGAGAGCAGTGCCACCCAGGGTAGCCAGTCCCTACGTGGTCACTGGGCCCTGAGGAGATAATGTACGTTCACACTCCGCTTCCTTCATTGGGAAACGATGATACTAAAAACAGGTCTCCACTTACTGGGTAGTTGGCCTCCTTCTGGCCACGCCTCCGGTTCACTGTGCAGCAGGAGGAGGGTCAGGGACAGCGCCCTGGTCTGGGGCCACACGACCAGCCACGCTGCAGATGGCCGTGCGAGACCCCGGGACCTGCAACAGAGCCTCGTGTGAGCCCACAAGTGTACACTAGGGAAGGAAGAATGTTCATAGACACATGAAAACTTAAATGTGCCCGTTACACTGACGTGTGCAGGTGCGGGTCTCCAGGTGTAAGTCACGCATCAGTTAATAGGAAGCTGATACAAACATCTAACTGGATGCCTGGCTCCGCTGTTTTCTGCTAAAACCTGGCCCACGCAGCTGGCACATTCCTCTGCTGTGTGACCACCCGACCCTCTTGCCAAGTTAGGGTTTGAAAAGGAAGCAACGAAAAAGGACCCTAACAAGAGGAGCGAGGAAAAGTCCCTTAAATGACACACACACGGGAAAGGCTGTATGGCCACAGCCGGGTCCAGTCACTTGGAGCAGAAAGCGTACCTCAAGCTTGACCGCAGCTTTGAGGGAAAGCGGGTTTATGGGCACCTCCGTCCCGGAACAACCTCCACAGACCCCGTCCCCAGGCAGCTGCGGCCCATCGCTCAGCTCAGGGCTGGGGGAAACCACAGCTCCGCAGCCTGGGCAGAAGGCGACACGGCCACGTGCTCTCCCACCACCACCTCTGCTGTCCTCCTCCAAACATGACGGACGCAAAGTCCTGTGAGTCAAGTAACTTAACCCCACGCCACCACTACTAGACGGCAACACACAGATTTAAACCAACATTTGGCCCAGAAAACAAGGTGCAACTGTCCAAAACTAGGACACAGCAGAGCCCAGGCATGAAACCAGGACCTCCGACCCTTCCGGACGATTCCTTCCCACAGCGGACGCTCGCTGTTCCCTGTGCTGTGGTCTTGGGACACAGAGTGCGAGTTCCACAGATGAGACACTGGTTTCCAAAGTTGTTTACAGAGTTCACTCAGACTCGGGAGAAGCAGGGGGCCTGGGTCAGTTCTGTGATGACCACTGGCACTTCCCTGAGGGACAGGGACTGGCCACGTGATCGCAGCCATGACCCCTCTCCGAGGCCGGCAGTGCCCGTCACGCAAGCACTGCCCACAGCCACCTACTTACCGGACGTGTCCCCGGCATCTCCACTGGAAAGGGTACTGAGGGCGACGACAAGTCTCCTTTCTCTTTTTATCTTCCTGTGCTTGCAATTTTCCATAAGGAATTCTTTACACGAGCAAAACCTTACAAATCAAAGACACAGCCTCCCCAAGGGACTTCAACCCGTGACACCAAGTCTCCTGCTGGACGCAGCGACGACAGAGCCGCGAGACACCCGTGAGACGCCTGTGAGATGGTGCCGCCCTGTGACTCTCCCTCGGATCAGAGCGGCCTCACTGACTCTGCCCAGGCCCGCGGTCTCCCAGGCAGGGCCCTGTCCTTCTCGATATCTAAACGTTGGTGCCTATTGTTCGTATTTTTACTTAGATGTTTTCATTGATTTTAATGAGAGGGAGAGAGAAACAGTGGATGTGAGAGAGAAACATCCATCGGCTGCCTCCTCTGTGTTTGGTCCGACAGGAGACAGACCCACATCCGGGGCCTGTGTCCCGACCAGGAATCAAACCCACGACCTTTTGGTGCCTGGGATGATGCTTGACGGAGACACACCAGCCAGGGCCCTGCTGCTTTTAGATACACACTGGTCGATTCTGTTTTGAAGGAAAATCCATTAACTGTTGGCTTCATTTTCCAGAGAAAATGTTCCAAGGGAATGAAACAATTTGTGATAATTTTCTTTTACAGAAGAGTAAACACGATGGAACTGCCTGGCCAGCAAATTCGAGGACAGTGCTGCGTTGGCGAACTGACCTCCAGGTTATAGGAAACACTCGAGAAACACAGCAGCTTTATTTAGCCCAACAGGAAAAAACACGCCTATTTGCACTTGTTGTCATATTCAGTTCTAATTTCCTACCACGGGGGCAGCTCTGCGTTATTTCTCAACTCTCAGCAAAGACATGGGCAATCACCTTGGTCGAAGCTGTTTTTGTAGGTTATTTCCATGGTCCTGGCGAGACCACTAGCAATAGCCTTGCTCTCAGACGGAAAGAGGAAGAGGCCTTGTCAATCCCAGGAGACAGGCATGGCGGTCGGAATTCCAGGACGTTAGGCCTTGGGAAGGCCCGGATACAAGTTACGCTTGGGATAGAAAAGACAAATAGCAACAACTCAAAAAGGACACACACATATCTCCTTTAAGTTAAGGAAGAAAAATATCAGCAAACCACGTTTTTATTAAGTTTTCCTACTGAAAATGTGCGTGAATTTAACGTGGTTTTATATCATTGGCGTCTCTGCTGAACTCTCAGTCATACGTGTACAGGCATTTCTAACAGCTCCCTCCTCCAATCCCTGAGCAGTGAGAGATAAGCAAGCTGGCACGTGGACTGCCCAGTGGTGAACAGGGGCACGTGGTTGGTAGGTGCAGACCCTGGGTGACCCTTAGCCTCTGAGCTGAGGACAAGGAGTCGCTCTCAAGAGGTGACATCACACGTGATTCCATTGACACAGCGTCTCAGAAAGTCCACACGACGCGATGGAGACAGACCAGGGCCTGGGGGGGAGGAGGCGCTTGTGTGGAGATGCCACGGTTCGCTCCCTGGTTGTGGGGGTGGCTACAGCTCCAGGCGTGAATGAACGCTCCTAGAGCTGGACAACAAGGGAGAGTCCATTTGCTGTGATCATGGCTGAAACACCATTTATTGTGAAAATCACAAACAGGATTGTAAAACCAGGCCCACGCTTTTCCTTCCTCTGAAACCCCAGGGGAAGAGCCTCCTGCTGGCAGGTGACGGAGGTCTTTTCCTGCCACACGGGGCTTCCAGCTGAGCTGCTCATCCTTCCTGAGGGCAAACCCGTGAGAAGCCACCAGGGAGTATTCAGTCGGACGAGACTGTCCTACACACGCGCGTTTCCATATTGCACGCTCGTGACAACCCTGAGCGAGGGTGTCACCAGGATCTCGTGCGTCGTGGGAAACCGAAGCACAGACGTGCAGGTGACGCGTCCAGGATCACCAGCCGGCGCAGGGCTGCCACCCGCTCACACCGCGGAGGTCTGGCCGCAGGTCTGTGTCCTCAGCCCTTTCTGCAGGAGCCCTTGCTATAGGCCGTGGGCAAACCTTACCACAGGAGGCTGTTCAGGCCACACGCCAGACCTTCTGCTATAAACTCCTGCAGAGGCAGCGTAGACACGGCCCACTGATCCTCTCGCCTCCCGCTCAGCCCATCTTCTGTCCCTCCTGCCTCTGAAGGTGTGTTAGTCAACCTCAGACATTTTAACAGTTTGTAGTCAACTATGTGAGTTGAGTGTCCGGATCTAAAACATACCCCTGCCACCTCCCTGCGGCGAACATGGCTGAGACCTCGAAGACACATTGCTCTGAGCGCCGGTTGCTCCGTGGGCGTGACGTGTCACTGTGAGCGGTTCCTGTAGGTGGGACGTGCTCTGGGCAGCCAGCAGTTACGGTATTTCCTCTGCACCCTTTCATGAACACAAGACAACTCCATTTTGTATCTTTGTCATTTCCGTCAGCCTGTTATTAGCATGAATATTACACTGACATGGGATTTTAATATCTAAAGAGAAAACATTGCATGATGGAAAAAGTATTTTTCATTTTCAATATTGACATTTCCTCCCCCAATTTTTTGTTGACACAAACTATTTGCATCTTCCCGGCCAGCATGACTAAGCTGGTTGAGCACCAGGAGGTCTGGTTCAATTCCCAGTCTGGACACAAGCCTGGGTTTCGGGCTCAGTCCCCAGTAGAGGGTATGCAGGAGGCAGCCAATCATGTTTCTCTCTCATCCATGTTTCTCTCTCTCTCTCCCTTCCTTTCTCTGAAATCAATAAAAACATTTTTTTTAAATAAAAACATTTATTTAAAAAATTATTTGCATCTGACCATTTTCCAACAGGTCAAACACAGCTGTTTTCACCTGCTTAACACTCCAAACTGAATAAATAGATGTACAAAGAGGGAAACGACACCAGGAGTGGGTCTGTCTTTCTCTCCCACAGAGGAGTTTACAGCTGCACATTTCCCTCCTAAGACACAGCTCGGGCCTCCCTGCGGCTCAGCTGAAAGAATATGAAGGAACGTCAGTGCCAGGATGTGGCCGTCAGCCCCGGGCAGGAAGAAGGAACGGCGTCACAGACCTCAGCAACGGAAAACGCAGGGACAGTGGTGCAGCCGGAGGAGCACCTGGCAGAGCCGGGCACCGACGCCCAGGCAGCCGCGGAGGTCGGAGGGCCCACGCGTGGGCACGAGGAGAGGGTCCCTCCTGCTCTTTTGAATCAGGGGTGGGAACCTTTCTTCTGCCAAGAGCCATATGGATATTTATAGCATCTCGGGTCATACAAAACTATCAACTTAACACTTAGCTGCTGCGGTGGGTCAAACACTTAATTAACTCACCCCAATGCCCTGGTGGCCAGACCACGTGATTTCTGGGGCCTTCCACGGCCCAAGGGCCTGCGTTCCCCACCCCTGCTCTAAAGGAAGGAACGGCGGGATGACTGTAACCCAACTGCTCGACCTGAGTCACTGGGTACAATTTGTTGGTGTCAACTAAGCTCCAAGGGAAACCCCAGGACTGTCTGCCCGTGTGTCCTGAGCAGACAGGTGAACAGCACTCCGTTCCCACCGGCCCAGAAGGGACCTAGAGACGTGAGAAATGTGCCACGTCACCCTGCCTACGACCCTCCAGTGACTTCCCATCACACTGAGTAGGACCCGACTAACACAGTTGAGCCCAGCAGCCCAGGAAACCCCTACTGTCCACAGGCGGGAGGCAGACATCGCCTTTGACCAGCCACTTCCACCAGCTGCCGCAGAGTTTACCTCCTGCCGCGGGCCTACTGCGTCCAAGCTGAAATACTGCAGTGACTGCCCACGACAGGGCCTTGATTTCATAGCACTTACTCACCAGGATTCTCAAAGGATGAAAAACTTTCAAAGAAAGGCTTCCACGAACAGCTCCAGGTCTGTCCTTATCTCAGAACGACATCCCTGCCCACACTGTAACACATTCCCATTCCTTTTTTAACAGCCTAGAGCACTGACAAGAGTGCTGGCAGGATAGAGAATCTGCT